GCCAGTCCTTTCTGGCCTGCCAGGTCTCTGTGGATAGGTCTGTTGCCAATCTAACGTTTCTACCATTGTAGGTTACATATCTCTTCTCCCAAGCTGCTTTCAGGATTTTCTCTTTGTCTCTGAGACTCGTAAGTTTTACTATTAGATGTCGGGTACTTTGTATATTCTTATCCTGGCTTCACTTTCCATTATGTGAAATTGCCAGACATTATTTGCTGTTGCAAACTTGGAAACGTAGGCTATCTATTTTTGTTAATTACTTATACTCTAATCATCAAGAGCAGTTTAAATCTATCTAGGTACTTTTGATACTACTTTTAGTAAGAGTAGTACTATATGTAACACTTTTAGTTATCCATCAATATAGTAGCCTCAGTTCCTTTGCAGTTCCATTGGCTAATGATGGTCTAAAATTACAACCTTAAAGAATTTATAGTTAATTGTAGCTATTATTCCTTTTCAATTTAGTGAATAAGGAATTTTTTTCTTCTTGCTACTTAAGGATTAAAATAATATTATTTGGAAAAATTACTCTGTCATTTACTTTCTATGTTATAATAACATAGAGTAACAGAGAGAGTCAATAACCAAGACTTGTAATTACTACAAAGTGTTTATACTTTGTCACATTTAATAATTCGTCATTATTTATCATTATCATTGTCAAACATTGCTTGAGTTCCTGCTATATATTACATGATAGGATATTTGACCTCTAGGAGTTCATATTATGGTTGAAAAGGAGAAATTGAGAAGCCTTTTCATAGACTTGAAGCAAAGAATATCAGGTTAAAAGATGGATATTCTACCTGCTGAACTATTGGAATAGCTCTAACGCTTCTGTAGACTTGTCACCTGTTCAGAGCAGTTTCACTCTTTGATTTCTATAGCAAATGGCAGGTTTGGGTATGCTGCTCACTCCCTTGGTTCTTGTAGAAGCCCATTTCTCAAAAAGTAAATGCTTCTGATGACTCTGCTCCCACCCCTGACCAGGACTTGATTTGAGTAGTTCTCTAAAAATTTGTTTAAATTGATATACCAGGGCACCTGGCTGGCTCAGTTAGTAGAGCATATTTGGTCTCAAGGTTGTGACTTCAAGCCCTACATTGGGGGTAAAGTTTACTTAAAAAAAAGTTGATATACCAAAAATCTGCTAGCCTGATGACTAAATTAAGTCATTCTTGTTTTCTATCCTCTCTCAACTCAGATTCAGTCCACTAGTAAATCCCTTTGACTCAACCTTTAGACTACATACCAATTCTGGATCACATCTTACCATTTCCAAGGCTACAATCCTAACCATTACCTCCATCATTTTAGCCTGTACTACTATAATTACCCCTAACTTGTTCCTCTGCCTTCTTTTTACTCTCCTACACTTAGTCTATTCTTGATCTAGTGGGCAGACTGTGATCCTTTTAAACTCGAAATCAGATGTTGGAACTCTGCTGCTGAAAATCTTCCAGTGGCTCCCATTACATTTAGAATAGAGTCCAGACTCTTTACCATGGCCTACAAGGACTTCTGTGTCCTGGTCTCTGTCAGCTCCTTCATCTCCCTCCATTTTCTTTCACATGCAAAGTTCCATCACACTTGATCTTCTTTCTGGTTCTAGATCCAAAAAGACTTCCTGGGCTTAAATTACTGTTCTGCTTGGCCCTTTTTAACTCTTTTTTTGTTATTTAATTATTAGGAAATCTTAGACAATTTCTTTGCACTTCAGTTCCTTCCCTTGTAAAATGTGGTTAAATCTAGCATCTACTTCACACTGTGGTTATTAGAATTAAATAAGTTAATATATGTAAAGTGCTTAGAATATTGCCTGGCACATACTTAGCGTTCAATATATGTTACCTATGCTCACCATCATTGTCACCATCATCCACATCCCATCATCATCTTTGCATGGATACCTTTTGAATTCAACTACCAAATGCATATATAGGTCTCTCTCAACCAACTTAACTAAAGCAACCCTCCTGGTCATTCTCTACGCAGTCCTGTTCTGTTTAACACTTTCTGTACCTGAAATTATTTTCTTTCTCTTTTATTTGTAATTCTCTAACTTCTTAAATTAGAACAAAGTAATTATATTAAATATTCACTTTTTTAAATGTGAAAGCTCTTTTCCCCTGTAAAAGATATATTACTGATATCTTGCTATTATTGATGGAATGCCATCGACTAGAACATTTTATATTAGTCTGAATATTCTAGCTGACCTATGAAAAAAGGCATTAACTAAATGCAAGAAGATACTGTTAATTAAAGCCTTGTTCATTGATAGCATACTTGGGAGCTTATTCAAAATATATATTCTCAGGCCTCATCTCAGATTTACTCATCTCAGACTTAGAATTCCCTGTGTGATTTGTATGCACATTAAAGTTTCAGAATCACTACTGTAGATTATAGGATTATTTAGGAAGTTAAATGGTAACTTTTTTTTATTTTCCCTTGTATACTTAATGAAATTTTCCTAATTTGTATTTTCAAAGGAATAATCACACACTCTTTGGTGTTCTAAATTATACTAAGACTCCTGGAGGAAGTAGAAGACTTCGTTCTAATATATTAGAACCTCTAGTTGATATTGAAACCATTAACATGAGATTAGATTGTGTTCAAGAACTACTTCAAGATGAGGAACTCTTTTTTGGACTTCAATCAGGTAAATGAATATCATCTAATTTTATGAATACAAATTATTAAAAAATACACTGTCTTTTTATAAGAATACTAGTCATATTGGATTAAGGCTCATCCTAATAACATTATCTTAACTTACATCTGCAAAGTTCTAATTTCCAAATAAGACCACATTCAGATACCAGGGTTTAGGACTCAAAATATCTTTTGGGGGATACAATTCAACCCCCATAACATAAGGTAAGAGAATTGCCTTTGGCATCTGGCTATTTGTTCACTCACATGGCAATACAGTTCTCTTCTTAAATCTATAGGTGAAAGGGAGTGCCTGGGTGGCTCAGTCGTTAAGTGTCTGCCTTCGGCTCCCCTGGGATCGAGCCCCACGTCGGGTTCCCTGCTCAGTGGGGAGCCTGCTTCTCCTTCTCCCACTCCCTCTTGCTTGTGTTCCCTCTCTCGCTGTGTCTCTTTCTGTCAAATAAATAAATAAAATCTTTAAAAAATAAATAAATAAATAAAAGAATACTCTTTAAAAAAAAAAAATCTATAGGTGGAAGGACAGTAGATACGTACTGTTCCTAGACCAGTTCCTGGTTCTTAGCAGTTCGATCTGTCTCTCATACCCTTGCTCTCCCAACCATTCCACCTGGTGTTCTGGTACATGAAAATCTAGGAGGCATTGAGCAAGCTACAAAGAAATCATTTTTTTTAAGTTTATTTTATTTTATTTTAAAGATTTTATTTATTTATTTGAGAGAGAGAGAGAGAGCACATGAGGGGGGAGGGTCAGGGAGAAGCAGACTTCCTGCTGAGCAAGGAGCCCAATATGGGACTCGATTCTGGGACTCCAGGATCATGACCTGAGCCGAAAGCAGTTACTTAACCAACTGAGCCACCCAGATGCCCTAAAGTTTATTTTTTAGTAATCTCTACACCCAACATGGGGTTCAGACTCACAGCCCTGAGCTCAAGAGTTGCATGCTCCCTGACTAAGCCAGCCAGGTGCCCCACAAAGAGGACATTTTTAATTGTAATCCTTTTCTTGTTCACAGCAACATCTTTTTGGCCGACCTATACCTGGCATTCCATGTAATACATAAGTGCCTAGAATATGAAGTTATTTAATTATGTAATGTTAGTCAAATTCCAACAATTGTCATCTTTTTAAACTTTCTGCTACTAAATATGCAGTTGCCCTTCTCCTGCCTATAGCTAATTGCTCCACCTATGTTCTGGATACTGTCTTTGTACTCATTTGTCTCCTGTATCTTTAATACCTTTCTCTCTTCCTCCTGTCTTTCCCATCTTTGTAAAAAAAAAAAAAAATCTCGCTGGACTTTACCTTCTCCAGCTACCACCTTATTTCTCTCTTCTCCCAGTTCATATGTAAACTGGTTGAAAGATTTTCTGTAGTCACTATCTTCTCTTTCCAACATTTCAGTCTGCTGCAGTCTTGTTTCTGTGCTTTCTGTGTGAGATTCCTCTAGTCAAGGTTACTGTAGCAAATGTTACTGGTTCTTTGTCAAGATCCTCTTGGATCTGTTTTACCTTTCTGTGTACCCCTTTTCTTGCTCTGTGTGGCTTTTGCTTCTACTGGCCCACCCTTGGAATCTTATTGGAATCCTGGCCCCAGACTGTTTGAGCATTTTGCTCTCAAGCAGCGTGCCAGAAGTGCCTTGCAGCCCTTAAATCACTGAATGAAGTGGGAATATGAAAACCCTGCTCTTTTTGAAAAATTTTTATTAAAACTCAATTTAGTTAACATATATTATATTATTAGTTTCGTGGGTAGAATTTAGTGATTCATCAATTGCATATAATACCCCACTGGGGTATTACATTACATCAAGTGCCCTCCTTAATGTCCATCATCCACTCAAAATGGATGAAAGATCTAAATGTGAGACAGGAATCCATCAAAATCCTAGAGGAGAACACAGGCAGCAACCTCTTTGACCTCAACCACAGTAACTTCTTACTAGACACGTCTCTGAAGGCAAGGGAAACGAAAAAAAACTATCGGGACTTCATCAGGATAAAAACTTTTGCACAGTAAAGGAAACAGTCAACAAAACTAAAAGGCAGCCTACGAATGGGAGAAGATATTTGCAAATGACATATCAGATAAAGGGCTAGTATCCAAAATCTTTAAAGAACTTATCAAACTCAACACCCAAAAACCAAAAAATCCAGTCAAGAAATGGGCAGAAGACATGAACAGACATTTCTCCAAAGAAGACATCCAAATGGCCAATAGACACATGAAAAAATGCTCCACATCTCTTGGCATCAGGGAAATACAAATCAAAACCACAATGAGATAAAACCCTGCCCTTTTTATACTGGTTTGGCGAAAACCCTGAATATAACTTAAAGTCTAGGATTCTTCTATAGGATCAGTTGAATTTACCTTCTATAGGACTTTGCCTGAAATTATACTTGGCTTGTCTTTTTTTCCCTTCCCCATCCTTCTCTCTTTTCCTGTTTTCTCTTGGAAACATATTTTTAAAAAATTTACTTAAATTTTAGTTCACATACAGTGCAATATTGGTTTCAGGAGTAGAATTCAGTGATTCATCACTTACATACAAAACCCGGTGCTCATCACAAGTGCCCTCTTTAAGACTCATCACCATCTAGCCCATCCCTCCACCTACCTCCCTCCATCATCTGTCAGTTTTTCTCTATCATTAAGAATCTCTTGGGTGGGGCGCCTGAGTGGCTCAGTCATTTAAGCATCTGCCTTCGGCTCAGGTCATGATCCCAGGGTCCTGGGATTGAGTCCCGCATCCAGCTCCCTGCTCAGTGGGGAGCCTGCTTCTCCCTCTCTAAAAAAAAAAATAATAATAATCTCTTGGGTGCCTGGATGGCTCAGTTGGTTAAGTGTCTGCCTCAGCTCAGGTAATGATCTCAGGGTCCTGGGATGGAGCCCTGCATCAGGCTCTTCTCATCACTGGGGAATCTGCTTCTCCCTCTCCCTCTGCTGCTCCCCACCCCTCCCCGCTTGTGCTCTCTCTCTTTCAAATAAATAAAATATTTAAAAGAATCTTTTATGGTTGGTTTCCCTCTCTTTCTTACCCCCTCCCATATGTTCATCTATTTTATTTCTTAAATTTGGAAACACATTTTTTTTTTCTTAAGTAGGCTCCACATCCTGTGGAGCCCAGTGTGGGGCTTGAACTTATGACCCTGAGATCAAGACCTGAGCTGAGATCAGGAGTTGGACGCTTAAGCAACTGAGCCACGCAGATACCCCTGGAAGCACATTCTTAATAAATCACTTGCACATCAGTCCTCATGTCAGGATCTGCTTCTGAAGAACCCAGCCTAAGACAGTCACCTACAGGATCATTGTTGTTAAATTTAATGGACACATATTAGTTCTCTTATTTGAACTCCAACTTATATGATACTGCTAAATATCTCTTCTTATTGAATCACTGTCTTTCTTTGTTTTTGCAATTACACAATCTCCTGATTTTCTTCCTGCTTCTTTGGAGTTTTCCTTCCTTTTTAGCTCTGAAACTCATTTCTTTAAAAAGTTTACAGGACAGGAAACAACAAATGTTGGCGAGGATGTGGAGAAAGGGGAACCCTTTTACACTCTTGATGGGAATGCAAGCTGATACAGCCACTCTGGAAAACAGTATGGTGGTTCCTCAGGATGTTAAAAATAGAGCTACCCTACGACCCACAATTGCACTACTAGGTATTTACCCGAAAGATACAGATGTAGTGAAAAGAAGGGGCACATTCACCCCAATGTTCATAGCAGTTATGTCCATAAGAGCCAGACTGTGGAAGGAGCCGAGATGCCCTTCAACAGATGAATGGATAAAGAAGATGTGGTCCATATATACAATGGAATATTACTCAGCCATCAGAAAGGATGAATACCTACCATTTGCATGGACATGGATGGAACTGGAGGGTATTAATGCTAAGTGAAATAAGTCAAGCAGAGAAAGACAATTATCATATGGTTTCACTCATATATGGAACATAAGGAATAGCACAGAGGACCATAGGGGAACGGAGGGAAAACTGAATGGGAAGAAATCAGAGAGGAAGACAAATCATGAGAGACTCTGGACTCCAGGAAACAAACTGAGGGTTACAGAAGGGAGGGGGGTTGAGGGGATGGGGTAACCAGGTGATGGATATTAAGGAGGGCATGTGATATGAGCACTGGTGTTATACGCAACTAATGAATCATTGAACACTACATTAAAAAAAAAAAACTAATGATGTATTATACGTTGGCTAATTTAACATAATAAAAAAAAAGTTTACATGAATATCCAGTCAGAACCAACTGGTTATCTCCCTTGAAATGTTATCTATATGGATTTCCAAATAGACCTCAGGACTGTATACAATCTTGGAATGTCCTCAGAAGGATCTGTCACTGACCAGGTAAGAGTAAAAACTTCAGAGTCCTTTCTTTCACATGGAAAAGGAAAAGACTTCGGAGTCTTTTTTTTTTTTTCCTTCTGAATCTTCTTTAAGGTTTCTATTTCTTTGCTTAGTCCCTAAATGCTAAGCCTCTTCAAAGATACATTCTAGGTTGTCTTTTTACCCTGAATATTCTTATATGACTTACCTTCCTGCTTTTATAATTATTACTCACATATTCATGACTTCTGATCTACATCTCATACCCAGATATCTCTACAGACCTTTAGCCCCATCTATCTTATTGCCTACTGAGCACTTTTTAGATGTTCCTCAACCATTTGAAATTCAGTTTTCCCAAACTGCGCTATCTTCCCTTCTAAGTCAGTCTTCCTGATTTCAGTGAAGAGCTCTACATCCAACCTCTTTACCAAGCCAGATACCTGGAAGTCATTCTTTTTTTTTTTTTAATTTTTAAAAAAGATTTTATTTATTTATATGACAGAGCACAAGCAGGGGGAGCGGCAGGCAGAGGGAGAGGGAAAAGCAGACTCCTTATATGACTTACCTTCCTGGTTTTATAATTAGTACAGGATCCACGGATAATATTTCAGTTCTTTTTTTTTTACATTTATTTATTATTTATGTGATCTCTGCACTCAGTGTGGGGCTTGAATTCATGACCCCAAGATCAAGAGTTGCATGCTCTGCTGACTGAGCCAGCTGGGTGCCCTGATAATATTTCAGTTCTATATTAAGGAAATGGGTAGGATTTTGACAACAGGAGAATCCTAGAAATGATATTTGAGACAAAGGGAACATGCCTGTGCAAGGTACACTAATGCACATAGGGCGACAACACTATTTTTTTGGTTGTAGTGGCTAGGATAAATATCTGATATGAGTGCCATTGGCTGTGATCTTGAGCAATCATTATTTTCTAGGGAACTCTTGTTTTTCTGGGAAGTTGGGGAAGATAGAGTTAACATAAGCTTCTGCAGTTTTATTTAATGTTGATATGAAAGAGCTTGCTGTATTTAAGGCATGGCCAGTAGTTACTTATGATTTGGGGCTAGCTTGTGAAGGGCTTTTATATAACGGTAAGACATTTGGGATTTTATCCTGCAAATAATAGGGAGCTGATGATTTTAAATCAGGAGAGTAATATGATCAAACCCTTATTTTAGAAACATTATTCTGGTTGTTATGATAGACTTAGGGAAGGGAAGAAGAAGAGACCAAAAAGTAAGAGGCCAATCTATATGAGGGCTTAGGAGAGTCTGGTTAGTGGAATCACATGTAAAATGTCACAATAGTATTATGTCTTATTGAACAGTATAATTTATATTACAATCTACTGTGATTTTTAAACATAGTTTTAATATAGCTAATTACTGTAGAAGCAGCAAATTAGAAAGGGACAGAGTTGCAGAGGTAGGCAAACTGAAAAATACCACAAGATACTTGGCAGTTTGAACAGGAAGAAAGTGACATAAAATTTTTGTCTTTTTTTTTTTTTTTTTTAAAGTATAGCAGGTTGGATCCATTTTGTGAAAGTATCAGTAAGTCTACACAAAAGCTTTGAGGTCACATATTTCAGTGATGATAATAGTCATGAGTTATTAAAAAACAATTACTATAGTTTACTGTATTTTAAGTATGAGGAAATGAGTTCATCCTTAAAAGGTCTGTTAAATGGCAAAATTAAAAAAAACTGGAGATATTTAAAGGGGATAGATTACAATTATCTGTGAATTTATTTTTGTAGAAGACTTTAAGCTGAAAAATGAGTTGAGAAGAACAAAAGAACGGTTTTGAGCTCTAGTGTGTGCAAGGTACTTTACACATATTATCTCACTTACTCCTCACAACAATCCTAGGAGGTAGATGTTACTATCCACATTTAAAAAATGAAAACAAAGTTCAGAGAAGACAGGTAAATTCTGGTAGGCTACATGGTTAGTGGTTGAACTGGGTTTTTAAACTAATCTTAAGTATCAGTAAGAAAAGTTATAGATCAAAAAGGTGGGAAGAAAATTATAATAACATCTAAAAGCCAGAGAAGTAAGTTTTTAGAAGGTAAGGATGGTCAACAGTGTCAGATTTTGAAGACAGATTATAAATAATAAAATTAAGAAAAGACCATTAAAATTCATTGTTTTATTCCTGACACATGTAAGATAGATAAAGACTCTTAAAACAAGTAATGTTTGTAGGTAGAACTGTTCTATTTTATTATTTGAGAATAATACTTTACATAGTTTATATTTTGAACTGTAACACAAAGTTTAAATGCACATGTTTTTTGTTTGTTTCAGTTATATCAAGATTTCTTGATACAGAGCAGCTTCTTTCTGTTTTAGTCCAAATTCCAAAGCAAGACACGGTATGTATGTATATATTATATATTATTATACTCTTTATATGATATAATTTGTCTTAATGTGATATAACAATTGGAAAATATAAAAATATTTTGGAAAAGTACTTCATTATTAATACCTGGAACATTTTTATGCCTTTTAAAGGAAACATTTTTTCCCAATTTCCTATTCTATGTTATAGTAAAAATTAAAAGTTTCTTAATTGAGGAATTGGCATATTTTCATTAATCAAATATTTACTTAAAAAGTTTATAATCTTTTTAAAACTTAGACTATAATTTCTGCTTAATAAATAACTAGATAAAAATTATGTTAGATCCAAAGATTATGGGTGCTTCTTAAAGGTGAACATTTTGTAAAGTTTGATTAGCCTTCAAATATGCTTGAACTTTAAGATGAAACAGTGTCTTTGGATATTTTTCAAAATTAAATACTTAGTGCTTATAGGCACATCCTGTAAAAAAAAAAGTGATAGATGGTTTTTATTCTTCTCTTTAAGGTGAATTGAAAAATATTTACTTTAATGAAATACATATTTTTGCTCATATGCTTAAAAAGGAAAAGAGTTTTGTACATCAGTACAGTTTGATTTAAAATTTGATTACTTTGCAAATCCATTGAAATCTATGTTTCAGAACTCTTTATTGTAGAGATAACACTCTTTAGGTTCATTTATAATAAAAACATCATCCGATGGATGGAAAAGCTTTGGCTGTTGGATAGGTACAGAACTAGAAATTTTCTTAAATAATTGAAATACCTTATAGTAATTCAATATATACAAGTGGGAATTAGCCAAAAACAACTGATGTCTGGAACAAAATTAATTACGTTCATAACATGAGTTTGAAAGTATTCCCTCCTCTTTAACTTTCTAGAACGGTTTGTGTAGAACTGGTTTTATTTATCCCTTAAATGTTTGGTAGAATTCACAAATGAAGCCATTAGAACGTGGGATTTTCTTTTTAGGAAGGTTTTTGACTGTAAATCCACCTTATTAAACAGATATGGTGCTATTCAGATTACCTCTTTCTTGTTGAATGAGCTTTGGTAGATGTGTCTTTCAAAGAATTTGTCATTTCACCCAACGTTGAATTTATTGGCATTACATTGTTCCTAATGACCTCCTTATTATCCTTTTTATATTTGTAAAGTTTGCAGTGATATATTCTTATTCTTGATGTTGGTAATTGAATATTCTCTTTTTTTCTTAGTCATTCTGGCTAGAGGTTATCAATTTTATTGGTGTTTTCAAGAAACCAATTTTTGATTTAATTGATTTCATCTTTTCTTGTTCTCCATTTCGTGGATTTCTGCTTTTGTCAGTCTTTTTTTTTTTTTTTGAGCGAATATTTGTTTGCTTGTTGTCTTCCAAGTTTTTATTTCAATTCCAGTTAGTTAATATACAGTGCGATATTAGTTTCAGGTGTGCAATATAATGATTCAACACTTCTGTACAACCCCCAGTGCTCATCACAAGTGCATTCCTTAATCCCCATCACCCATTTAACCCATTACCCACCAACCTCCCCTCCAGTAATCCTCAGGTTTCTATAGGTAAGAGTCTGTTTTCTGGTTTGCTTCTCTCTCTCTCTCTCTCTCTCTCTCTTCCTTCTGCTTACTCTGTGCTTAGTTTGCTCTTCTTTCTCAGGATTCTGAAGGTAGAATCTGAGATGATTGATTTGAGACCTTTTTTCTTTTCTAATATAGTCATTTAGTGCTATAAATTTCCCTCTGAGTAATGCTTTAGCTATATTACACAATTTTTTAAAACTAATTTATTTGAGAGAGAATGAGCACGTGAAAGAGAGAGAGAGAGAGCACAAACAGGGGGAAGGGCAGAAGTAGACTCCCCACTGAGCAGAGAGCCCAATGTGGGGCTCCATCCCAGGACCCTGGGATCATGACTTGAGCCGAAGGAAGATGCTTAACTGACTGAGCCACTCAAGCACCCCTGTATTTCACAATTTTTGATATGTTGTGTTTGTCATTCAAAAAAGTTAAAAATACCTTCTAATTTCATTTTTAATTTCTTCTTTGACCTGGGTTATTTAGAAGTGTGTTATTTAGTTTCCAGTATTTGGGAATTTTCCAGATATCTTTCTATTACAAATCTCTAATTTAATTCCATTGTGGTCAAGGACATATGTTGTCTGATATGGATCCTTTGAGCTTTATTGACTCTTGTTTTTATGGTCCAGAATATGATCTATCTTGGAAATGTTCCATGTATACTTGAAAACAATGTATATTTTACTGTTGTTGCATGGAATTTTCCATGAATATCAGTTAGTTTAAGTTGATTGATAATATTCTTCAAGTCTTTTTATTTCTTTTAAGATTTATTTATTTAATTTTTTTTTAAAGATTTATTTATTTAGTTTAGAGAGGGGGCTGGAGAGAGAGTGCATGAGTTGGGGGAGAGGGAGAGAAGCAGACTCCCTACTGAGCACAGAGCCCAGTGAGGGGCTCAGTCCCACGACCCCAAGATCATGACCTGAGCTGAAATCAAGAGTTGGTCACTTAACCACCTGAGCCAGCCAGGAGCCCCGTTTTATTTATTTTAGAGAGAGAGAGAGCAAGAGAGTACGAATGAGGGGAGGGGCAAGGGAGAGGGAGAGAGAATCTCAAGCACATTTCCTGCTGAGCGCAGAGCCGGTTGTGGGGCTCAATCTGACAACCCTGAGATCATGACTTGAGCCAAAATCAAGAGTCAGACATTTAACTGGCTGAGCCATCCAGGTGCCCCTCTTCAAGTCTTCTATATTTTTATTGGTTTTTTTGTCTATTTATTCTGTCAGTTATTGAGAGAGGGATGCTGACAACTCCAACTATAATTGTGGATTTGTCTATTTCTCTTAGAAGTTCTCTTTTTAATAGTGGACACTGTGTGTATACTAATTGGCATACATAAGTTCAAAATCATTTGCATACATAAAGTTCAAAATCATTTTCCTCCTCCCTCATTCATTTTTTTTCTTTTTCCTCAAGTTTTTATTTAAATTCCAGTTAGTTAACATACAGTGTAGTATTAGTTTCAGGTGTTGAATTTAATGATTCATCACTTACATACAATACCTAGTGCTTATCACAAGTGCCTTCCTTAATACCCACCACCCATTTAACTCATCCCCCTGCCTACCTCCCCTCCAGTAACTCTCAGTTTTTTCTCTATACTTAAGCATCTGTTTTATGGTTTGCCTCTCTTTTTTTTTCCTCTCTGTGTTCATCTGTTTTGTTTCTTAAATTTCACATAAGAGTGAAGTCATACGGTATTTGTCTTTCTCTATTTCACTTAGCATAATATACTCTAGCTCCAACTGTGTTGTTGTAAATGGCAAGATTTTCTTATTTTTTTATGGCTGAGTAATATTCTACTGTGTGTGTGTATATATACACATATATATACCAACTCTTCTTTTTTTTTATTATTATGTTAATCACCATACATTACATCATTAGTTTTTGATGTAGTGTTCCATGATTCATTGTTTATGTATAACACCCAGTGCTACATGCAGAACGTGCCCTCTTTAATACCCATCACCAAGCTAACCTATCCCTCCAACCCCCTCCCCTCTAGAACCCTCAGTTTGTTTTTCAGAGTCCATAGTCTCTCATGGTTCATCTCCCCCTCCGATTTCCCCCCCTTCATTCTTCCCCTCCTGCTATCTTCTTCTTCTTAATGTATTATTTGTTTCAGAGGTACAGGTCTGTGATTCAGCAGTCTTACACAATTCACAGCGCTCACCATAGCACATATCCTCCCCAATGTCTATCACCCAGCCAGCCACCCCATCCCTCCCACCCCCCACCACTCCAGCAACACTCAGTTTGTTTCCTGAGATTAAGAATTCCTCATATTAGTGAGGTCATATGATACATGTCTTTCTCTGATTGACTTATTTCACTCAGCATAATATCCTCCAGTTCCATCCATATTGTTGCAAATGGCAAGATTTCATTCCTTTTGATGGCTGCATAATATTCCATTGCATATATATATACCACATCTTCTTTATCCATTCATCTGTCGATGGACATCTTGGCTCTTTCCACAGTTTGGCTATTGTGGACATTGCAGCTATAAACATCGGGGTGCATGTACCCCTTTGGATCCCTACGTTTGTATCTTTGGGGGTAAATACCCAGTAGTGCAATTGCTGGATCGTAGGGTAGCTCTCTTTTCAACTTTTTGAGGAACCTCCGTACTGTTTTCCAGAGTGGCTGCACCAGCTTGCATTCCCACCAACAGTGTAGGAGGGTTCCCCTTTCTCCACATCCCCGCCAACATCTGTCGTTTCCTGACTTGTTTTTAGCCATTCTGACTGATGTGAGGTGGTATCGCATTGAGGTTTTGATTTGGATTTCCCTGATGCTGAGCAATGTTGAGCACTTTTTCATGTGTCTGTTGGCCATTTGGATGTCTTCTTTGCAGAAATGTCTGTTCATGTCTTCTGCCCATTTCTTGATTGGATCATTTGTTCTTTGGGTGTTGAGTTTAAGAAGTTCTTTATAGATTTTGGATACGAGCCCTTTATCTGATATGTCATTTGCAAATATCTTCTCCCATTCTGTAGGTTGTCTTTTAGTTTTGTTGATTGTTTCTTTTGCTGTGCAGAACCTTCTTATTTTGGTGAAGTTCCAGTAGTTTATTTCTGCTTTTGTTTCCCTTGCTTCAGGAGATATATCTAGCAAGATGCTGCTATGGCCGAGGTTGAAGAGATTGCTGTCTGTGTTCTCCTCTAGGATTTTGATGGATTCCTGTCTCACATTTAGGTCTTTCATCCATTCTGAGTTTATCTTTGTGTATGGTGTAAGAAAGTGGCCCAGTTTTATTCTTTTGCATGTAGCTATCCAGTTTTCCCAACACCATTTGTTGAAGAAACCGTCCTTTTTCTATTGGATATTCTTTCCTGCTTTGCTGAAGCTTGGTTGACAGTAGAGTTCAGAGTCCACTTCTGGGTTCTCTATTCTTTTTTTTTTTTTTTTTTTAAGATTT